GGATAGAGGGACCAGGACAAAACGAGGAATGATGGCATAACCATCTCGACAGAAAGTTGGTCAAGGGATTGAACTCAACTGTTTTTTGACGTGTTCTACTTTGGTTGCCGAGAAATGTATGCGAATGTACCATGTCCGCGGTCCGAATGTGGAAATGCTCATGTATCCTATAGACTCCGGACAAGGTCCTCCTACCGACATGAAAAAGTTGCAAAACCAAGGTCGAACAACTTCTATTCACACAAAAGGCCACATCATCCTGGTCTCCATACCATCGAGGAAACCCATTAAGCCTAGTTTTCAAGCGTACGTGGCAAGCTCATTTAAATTAACCGGCATCTCTTCTAAATAACAGCTTTTGCTGTTACTCCCTTTTGTAGTTGTTTCAAGTAATGATCCTGACTCACACGCATACACATGTTAACACATGCACACATACACACAAGGACATACAGACTCAAATATGAGTACATGAAAGATGTCCTTCTAGCTACATCTACATATTTTCGTATATATCCTACGTATATGTAAAGTTACTTTGACATTTTACAAATGCATAGGAGTCTGTATACGAACTATGAAATTGCAATATCTTTATTCTTCACAGTTAATGTAAGAAAAATCCATTCAATGAACACCTTGAAAATCTTGATAAACATAGGTTCCCTAGCGTATCTTTGACCCTAAATACTCACACATCAAAAAAATATTCTTGAGCCTATATGAAAGCTGCATTCACCCTACTCAACTGTCAATACGTAATCTCGATCAGGCCTCTCCTCGCCTCAGTAAACCGTAATGATCTGGGCCTGACGTTCTTCTCTTTTGTAGTTGTTTCAAATGGTGCCCCGTACTGCGTACCCTGAATCACACACGTACAGACGTAAATACATGCACGCCCAGACATACAGACTCAAATATGAGTATCGTGATTAACAGGAAATTTGTCTTTCTTGCTCTATATACATATTTTCATATATATCCTACATATATATATATATATATACGTAGGATATATACGAAAATATGTAGATAAAGCATATATATATATATATAAATCTATATAGGTAGGATAGAGCTGGATAGTCTTTTTGATTTGGCGGTAACTTGAATCTTTTGCAAGAATGAGATTCAGCCCTGACTACGAATCTCTT